GACGTATATACAGTCTATTTCCAAGGAATCGTGCATTAATAACTCGACGGCGTGCTATTAATTATGAATTCATATTATATCCTGACTTCCATCGCATGTTCAGGAAACTATCGTGAATACCACGATATTGATATTATCCGTAAAAGAGGGCTCAAAATCTGGACGTGATCAGGGATGTCTTATAATTACACTACGAGCGAACGCTTCGAATCACATAGCCGCTTCTATTACCTTCCGAAAGAAGGAAAATTGTGAAATTTGAGTAGCGCTATCGTCGTGACCCTCGTTAGAGGTTTTGAGGTAAAGGGTGAAATTACACTCGACGATGAACAGGCATGATCGAGGTGGGTGCAAACAATCCGGCAGAGAGGAGAAGAGGGAGAGAGCGGGAGAGAGGAGAGAGAAAGCAAGCGAGAGAGAGAGAGAGAGAGAGAGAGAGAGAGAGCTATGGGATTAGATATTACTCGGTGCCGGGTCGCTCGCCAACTGGCTTTGATACATTACCGAGCGATAATCCTATCTGCTCGCAAAGCCAGGACGATACAACCGGAGCAACTGGATGCCATGTCGACTCCGTTACCGCTAACTATAATATGCATCCAGCTGTCGGCTATGAGAGAGGGCTCAGGCTTCAGGGTGCTACGTTCTCTGGCAGAGGTAGGCGCGGCCTGTCGTCGCCAGTATAAGAACCTAAGGTAGAGTTCCACGTTGGGGAGGTTAGAAATCTCTCGACTTCGCCGGGAACGATGACAACGCGACTCACGTAATATTGTGTCTCATAACGCACGGAAAATGCTAAAATATCTCGGATTATATGCGAATCGCGGAACTCGTATATTCCTGTCGTCCTACGTTATTATCGTGCGGAATCACAATGCGAGAAAAGCAACCGCACCACCGCGAGCGATCGCTCCTTTGCGTTTCGTTCTCGAAAGCAGGGCAGGCTATTTTCCTGCGACGCGCTCAAAAAGAAATAACACAACGTTTCACTTTCTCATAATTGAAATGGAAAACGAGATTTGTGCGTACGTGCCATCCGACGGTTTCAATATATCGTAAAAGAATGCAGTGTTTTCACTGTTTTCATTTCTGGTGCACCTTAACTGTAGCAGAGGAAATCACGGAGATTTCATAATACTCGAGTGAGAGAAATTACACTTAACGCATTTAATTCGCAATGCTATGTCAAACGACTGCCACGCCAATGCACCTATCTGCCTATTCGTCTATTTGTCTACCAGCTAAAATTTGTCGCGTTAATTTTCGCTGTGCACCTGGATCTAAGCCCACATCATTTTCTTCGAGTCGCATCGAGATATCGCTCGATGAAAATACCGGTCTACGCCGAGGTAAAACATGATTTACCGAACCTACTAAACGCGTACTTCGTCGAAGCGACGGTACCGTCGACACATAAAAAACGCTTTGTGCGTCATCCCGCAAGCACGTCTCTCTTGGCCGGCAAAAGACGAGCGCGTATTGCTTCTGAGCCACAAGCTCGAATTGATTCCGGATCCTCAGAAAAAGCACCGTCTACCGCCAGCGCGTCGCGATAAACTGAAAAAAGAAGGGATTCGAGGAGGGGAAGAGAGAGAATAGGGGTGAGGGAGGAGAGGTGCAGAGACGAAAAAAGCATAGTTCTCGATACATACCGATATGTGTGGCCGTGCGCGAATGCCCCGGGGCCGCCCGACGAAATTGCATCCGGAATTTCAATATAGCGCATATCATATCTCAACCTTAAAACGCCGCCAGGTCTGTTCGGTATTACTTTGTGGTCCCGAACCCGCGGAAGCTGACTTTACTCGCCGATTATAGAGATTCCGACTGCGGTAAGGCGCACGCAGGTGCAGCGCGGGGACCGTGAGCCAAAGGGGGTGAGAGGGTTAAGAGTCGAGGGATGAGAAGAGGAGTCGCAAGCCCCGGTTGATCCTTTTGCCGAGACGCGGAGAGAGGCAGCCTGCAGGGGACATTAGACGGTTTTCGCTCGGAATAAATGATCAAAAGGCAACTCCAGATTAAAGCTGTCGCTGGCCCGGTGGTGACGCGCGTGCGCTTACACGCTCCGCTGCGACCTGATGTTGTGCTTTTACAAAGTGGTTTAATCAAATTTTCAGAAAAGTCGACGATGCGATTAATGCGCGTTCCCCGCCGGAAGACGCGCGCCCGCGCACTACTCGCGCTTCAGTCATTCCCTTAGATTTTCGGGTCGATCTCTGGGTGAAAGTTTAACAAGATGGGCGATGTGTTTATTCGATAGACTCGAGAGATATTCGTGAGAGGAATTTCGACGGTTAGAGCTTGGTTAGAGTTCGCGCGGGTCGAAGGTTGATTTCATCGGTTCAGTCCCGAATAGATTTTGTCTTACCAGATAATTGATTTTAACGTGAACTTTGAATATAACCATTGAATATAACCCTTTACAAGTTTCAGCATAATATGCGTTAGACAATTATGAAATATAACAGAAGAGGAAAAGCTTTAGGAGGGTCTCGTAATTGATTAATAAAATATGCCAGATAGATGTGATATAAAGCGAGATTCTCTCTCACAAATAGAATACTTTTCACTCAGAGAAGAAAGTGTTAAAGAAAGAAGAAAACGTAATTATTAATAGCGATACGATACTCGATTATAGGCCGGTTACTCTCTTCCCGTTCCCTTTGTCGGAGCGAGATTGAAAATGATCGCGGTTGAAATCGGGGGCGAGGAAGACAAGAGAAATTAATGCCAGTTCGTTAGGACGGCTTGTGCTCACGTCGCGGAATTTAATTACTAGCGCGGGGTAAAAATAAACGACGCAACGTGAGAAATGTCGATTTAACGAGGAGGAGCAAGCATCGCTATCGGAACACACTCGCGACGTTCGCCATTAGGCGCGAGACGACCTGCCGAGTAATTTCTACGATGGCGCGCGCGCACCACCATCACACAGCACTGGCCGGGGAACGACGGAGCGCGGTGTGCCGGCGGTCGAAACATTTTTTTCTTTAATGAAAGGTATCATAAACGAGTTCCAAAGTAATCTCCCGCCAAGTGTCGGGTACTGAGCGCCGAGACAATTTTCTCCCGAAGTTTATCCACTCGCGTTTATCGGGCAACTCCCCTCTAGGCGGGCAAAAAATTCTCATTATGACTTATCTGCGATCGATCAGCGGGGTAAACCTTGGGAATCACAGTGACAAAGACGAGGGCGACGACGGCGACGACGGCACGATCAGACAATCGACGTGAAATCGACGAGACAATCGTGACGAGCGGTGCCGTGATCGGAGGAAATGGAACTCGCGAGCACGGATCCTCCGCGGGGACCACAACTCGTCGTTTTTTCCTCCGTGGTCGCCGCGGAGAACAAGCGGGCGAGAACAAGCGGACCGGCGCGAACGCAAAGGAAACGAGGTGACGTTCGCCGCAAACGGAGGTATAGGGGTGGCTGGCTGCCTCGACGCGGTGATTTATCGTCGAGGTGCGAGAGAAGGAGGCAGATAGAGGATTCCGTCGCGAAAGAGGAACGGAGTCGACCGCGCGCGCGCGCGGCGGTAACGAAAACATTTATTCGGCGAATTAAATTAAGAGTGAATGGGAGAGATTGATCGGGAGTTATGCCTCGTTGTTAGTGGGAAAGAGAGATTCTGTTCGCTCGTCGTTCATCATGAATCGAAAGCTCGTGAGAGAAGCGGGCTGCGGGAGTTGGCCCGGCGAGCCCGTAGAGTTACACTTCGCGAGACTAAGTTCGCGCGAGGTCGCGATGATTAATCGATAACGGGCTCCATACGATACAAACGGGCGCGCCGTCGATGCGCGAAGCGACCCTAATCGCATTAGATGACGGTCGCGTGATCGATATATGGTGATGCGACAGGTCATTCCGTTTCGTTCGGGCTTAACATCGCGGTACGCGCTGCCAACGTTTACGTCATGCTTATCTTGCTCGCGTGTTACACTCGCATCTACATCTACATTATCATAACAGAAGCGAGCTGGCTAATTAATCGATCCACGTAACCATCATGCCATCCTACCTCCTAATTTCAGTTTGCGTAATTCATATTTATGTTAAGACCTGCATTGCGCGATAATGGTTATTCCAGTACAAAAGATATACCTGAGTCAAGTTTTCGATTCCATATTAATGCTGAAAATACTGCTGATACGCGGAAAAAAAAGAGACCACTGCCGCAGCTGATCGTGGTTTGCTGGAAATGTATTTGTTGCTGTGACTGAACATTTGTAACTAAAACTTTCGCTACTGTTGCTGCTACATTGGTTTCATAACTGAATTTATGTCTATTGGCAGCTATTAGATATGCTACAATCTATTTAGCTATCGTACAATACAGATTCTTGTTGTCGCAGATAATATTTTTTTCCCGTGTATACTTAAAGAAGCAATGAAAGAATTTCGAGGATTCATTCGACGAAATTTTCCGAATTAATTCAAAATCGAAATGTCGACTCGGGGTACCGCGCTATGATAACAAAGATGCTGATTCTTGTGAAGCAACTACAGAAAAATATACACGCACGATATTGCTTTCTAAATTATACTTACGACGAGGTGATAAAATACGTAATGTATATAAAACGTCAGTTCTGAATATTTATATAAAGTATATCGTGAACGGTCTGGCGTGCTCTTCTAATCATTATTTACTGCAAAAGCTCGGTACACTGAGAGACCACGAAGATCGTGAATTGTAGTATATGCGTTATCCTTAAAAACTCATCTAAGGAGTATTCTTCCCGTGGATTTTGCTTAAGTAGATAAACTTGGAAATAATTGGAAATTATGTAGACGACTAATCCCGCTGGAGATCCTTGTTACCGGCACTCGCGGTGTTCTTTACATCGAGTCTTCAGCTAAAAAGATTCGTATGCAGAGAGCAATTTCGGGATACCGAATGGCCTAAATATTCTCCCGAGAGGAAAATATTTCACACGCGCCAGCAACACCTTCGTCAAATGAATTATATTCTGTGTTGCTTTTTCTTCGTACGTAGTATGCCACTTGCTGCGCGGCGGTGTAGCAGCGATTTTTGGACCGCAGAGCGCGCACACGGCGTCTCACGTGCAGAGCATTTGCGACACCATGGAAATTCCGCACTTGGAGACACGCTGGGACTACCGAATCCGGCGGCAGAGCTGCCTCGTCAACCTCTATCCGCATCCGACCACTCTGTCCAAGGTACGTACAAACTTGGAATGTAATAGCCTCATTAAGACGGCAATCCCGCCGCGGAAGATCTGCCTACTCGTGGACTTCCCCTCGGTCGTAGAGATTTCTTGTGTCTCACGGAGCTGTTTTGCTCTCGCGAGCCTCTCCATCAACGGCGAACAAATATCGCTCTTTCTCTTAAGCGTAGGATCAACACCCGTCGCTCTAATTGGAGTAGTTTGAACATTTCGCTAGTCCCGCTCCGTCACATTTCACGTTCCATTGTAATTACAATCAGAATGACGGGCACAAAAAGCCAGGAAACCACGGAAATATCGGATTTTCGATGCAGACGGAAAAAACGTGTACTGCCACTCAAAAGTTGAAATTAAAATTTCGAGAGTAATGTAAAACATAGCTTCTCTTTCTCGTACGTGACGCGCAGCTTATCCAATTCAGCATCGTTCCGTTTTTTCTATAGCGACCTATTTAATATATATTTTTCTTCTTCGAATCAAAGCTACCAACAAGATTACCCGGATCTAATCGCATTGAAACGAAAGGCTAATGCCATTTCCGTTTTGTTCGTATTTTCAGCGAGCCATGGTGCACGTGGTGCTCGCTAAAAACACGCGCACGCGGAGGAAATCACCATTGCGGGCAACCGAACTCTCCATTCAGTTACATCCGGTTGTATCCGTGCGCATCGGATGTTACGCTCACAACGGCAGTTCTGAACTTAACGCGGGAGAACTGGAACTTTCTAAATTTCTCTTAATAAGCGCCGAGTCCCAGGAAAGAGCGCGGCTGAAAGCCTAGCCGCGGGTTGCACGGCTCTCGGGCTTTTGGGTTAACGAGAGTTCTCTCCTTTTCCCTCCTTTTCTTTGCTTGCTGTGTTTCATGAATCCTCGCACAACTCCTTCTCCAATATTTGCTGCTCACGAACATTTGCACCCTGCGACATGCTACCTCCCTCCTTTACTCTCTCTACTGTTTCATCCTTAACGTATGTAAAGACACACTCTCTCTCTCTCTCTCTCTCTCTCTCTCTCTCTCCCACTCTCTTTCTCCCTCTCTCTTTCATTCACTAGCTCGCGCATCCTCTTTCAATATTTGCCACTCGATTTGTCCTCCGTTCCCGAAAGCGCTCCGTTTATTCCCCGTATAGGACGTGGCGGAATCCCGCTCATCGCTCGTCATTGAGTTTCCCTTTATTTTCGAAGGGATTCGCGAGTAGAGGAAACAGAGAAAATAAATGTCCGCGGCTGCGAGGCACTTTACGCTCCGAACGAGAAAACACAAGTGAGAGAGTCGATAAATCTGTCGTTACGGCCGAACGAAACATACAAGGATTTTGCTACGAGAGGTATGAAAGACAACGGGAAACGAAATCTGCGTGTGTTAGGAGACAACGCCGCTTAAGTGGCGCCCTAAAGGGGTGTATCCGACGACACGAATGTACTCTCGTTAAGAGGAACGCAATTTTTATACGATATGTATGTGGAGCGTTGTGAGTCTGATTAACTCAACCGGAAACATCGAGCCTTTGCCGGCAATATTTAAAGCGATACGGAGCGGAACGCGATCAGCAGTCAGGATTTATTCCTGCGGGGCGACTTCTCGGGTACTTTTATCGGTATCATATGATATATTGATGGCTAGATAATAATTTACGGTCGTATACACACACACACACACACAAACACATATACACACGTCGGTTTTGGCATTGCCGATCAAAGGGCTTTCAACGGTGGAACACAGAGGACACAATTTGAACACCGTTGCATACCTCAAGCTGTCCGCTCCCTCCCTCTTTATCTACCCTCCCCGTAAGAATTTCAATTAGAACCCATTCATGTGTCGCATGGTCGACGTTTTGACTACTCGTTAAAAAACGCAAATCTCAATATCGCCGCTTCGACGTATTACGAAATATTTTGACAAGTCTGCAGCCGTGGCTCTAATTAGTTCGCATTTACAAGTCATAATCACGCGACATATCAATCACCGATGAATGCTATCGGTATGAATGCGGTTTTTCTTTTGCCCTCCTTGTTTCTTTCCTTGCTAAATATATACATCGAAATGAGTCAGACGCGAGACTGTTATAGCTCTCCGAACTGCAAAATCCGACACAGTCGCACAATGAAATGCGAGCGCGCGAGACGAGGTTGCGCAAACGTTTAATAAGCTTCCGCATTCTGCAGGTGATAAACATCAGGTTTCCTCAGTCTCGGGTTTCCATTGTGAGTCTAGTAAACCGGAGGGAAGTAGCTTACGTCGTCAGTTATTTCACTGCGCCGCGAGCGGGGTTGGTTTTCTCTCGCCTGAGTTCTTTCCCTCGACGGTGTCCCCGCCATTTCCAACGGTGAAAATGCAAAATTCACTAGGAGAGCAGCGACGTCCTGATTAGAGTGCTCGACAGAGGAAAAGGAAAATCGAAAAAGGACGGCGCGCGGAAGTGCGGTGGTGAGGGTGGATGGCGAGGGGAACGGGGAGAACGTTGGCGTCGATTCCGTCAAACGAGCGACAGTCTCATTCAGTCAACTCGACGACGGAAATATTTTACTTTCCGGTACCATCTTACGCGCGTTTCAAAGGAACCCAAGGCGATTGCGAGGAGCTGACGGCAAAATGAAGCAAAAGGTGTGGCAGTCGCGCTGAGTCTCTTTGATTCGCATCCCTGGCCGAGCTGCCAGGGATAACTTTAATACCCTTCCCATTCGCGACTTTCAGCGCTATAACAAATTACTATCGCAAACTATCGTGCATTATTTCGGATGATGGCAACGAAAGAAATAATTATGATTTGCGGACAGAATCGACTAGAATAAAACATCGAGTTTCCGCACAATTTTCCTTCGCGCACAAATTTCCTTCGAATATCCGCGATCGCAGTAAAAGCGACTCGGGTGCTACTTGCGTGAGATATTATATTTCTTTTCACTTTGCACGCTAAATATTCGATATATGTATCTTAACGAAATCTCAATGTCAATACTGTTAACGCTATATGCAACAATGTTCCCCTTACAAATCTTCTAGAAAGACAACACGACATGGTCATTTTATCGCGTTCGAAATGTCTTTAATCCGATTGCTCTCCAATTATCGCGTTCAAACGCGAAGACGAATCTATCCAATCTCGCTTTGAACTCTGCGACAGCTCGTATCGTCCGCGCTGAAATCGAATTGTCAGGCATTTCGATTCGCATTCCTGTTCGGGCGCGAGCTACTTCTACTGCAGCTTCTTCGACCCTCGCAAAAGAGAATAACCCTTTGTAAGGTACCGTTAGAGAAAAGTCTTTCTTTTCTTTTTTTCAAAGAAGGCTTACGGAACGATCGACGAATTCTTGTACTTTTTACGTTTACAATACACAATAATCAATGAAACTGTCTCTTTGCCTGCAACTTTGATTGCAGGTGAAGAAGTGGACTCGTTTAAGTTATATAACATACGCATATTGATTGAAGATGGCATCGTTGATATTTCATTTCTGAGAATATCCAAACGGATCTTTTCATAAGAGAAACAAAAATATTTGTATCATAATGCATATAATATGACGGATTTATTCATACGAGTGAACGATCAAAATGTTTTCACGGAGAAAGATTCGTGATTGATTCATTTGGAATCATAGAGATGAATACATATTCATCGGCCATGAATGCATGTCAATCGTTGTATCGCTGATCACGATAGTGATTGAGTATATACTCTGAGGATCGAGGACATAATCCTTGATTGCTCATTGCCCGGTATCAGCCTCTTAGTTATCTAAGCTGTCACTAATGACGACATGGATATACGTAATGATCGTTAGTGTATTTCCTCAATAATCAGGCGCGTGATCACGATTTGGACGTCTTAACAAGCAAATGCTCCGCAACTGGAATCGTAATTTCTGCGAGAGAACGTCTGCGATCTGTGCCTATCCGAACTCAGCATCCTTCTCTTTCCGCTCTCGAGACACAGAACGATACTGCTCGCTCCAGTTGGAAGGTATCGACATTATGACGACATAGCGGGCGATATGTTGGCGCTAATGAACCGCGATGGGCGCAATTGCCATTACCGTGGTGATGATTTAACGATCTTCGCCGTAGCCGATAATGGACCGGCTCCTGTGCTCCGGCCGCCGGATCGGCCGGGTGTGTGTGATCGGTTGAATCAACCGCTACGTTGCCGTTGGAATTCAATTTGTAGCGTTTCCTAGCGGAACCTTTACTCGTTACGCTTTCCTGCAGCACTTCAATTCGCAATGTCGGCATGCTCGCCGCCAGACTCGGCCTTAGGAAACGATGAATCTTAAGGAAATATTTAATAGCCGTTCTTTTGTAAATAACGATGTTTATTAAGCGATTATGATTATTACACGCGTTCGGAGAAGCAGTTTTCGCGTAATGACAGTTCCTGAATTCGAATTTAGATCTTGCGATGACTTGCAAAGATCGATTCCTCGTGACGAAAATAGAGTTTATCTTCTTCAAAGGAAAACGTCGAAGCAAGTTACGTCTCGCCCTGGAGACACGTGATGTGTAATGTTAAGCGTCTCAGCAACGCTAAACATCAAACGAGATTTCGTCGTTACATTCGCATCAATTAGCGTTTTTCAAGATTGGGTCTCTCTTTAAGTCGCTCTTTTTTTAGTAAAAAAAACACACGCAAGAGAGATTTCACATCTTGGCAGAAAACAGGAAGGCAGAAGCCAATTAGAACTCGCACTGGTAGAAAAGCAGAAACTAATCGACTACTATCGGACCACCAGCACGAGTTCTGATTGGCTTCTGTTTTTCTGCTTTTCTGCCAAGGCGTGAATGCGCCCTGAAGCTACACAATATACGGGAGGAAATTGCTTCTCATCGTAGTGTAGACAAAGTGCACAACAACGTCGCGACTCATTGCGCTCCGAAGCGACCATCCCCTCTCATCCGCCACTTAAACCGCTCCTGATCACTGCCACCCAAACATATCGTCGGTGATAAGTACCCACTCTATTCTGCTCGCGTGGCATTCGCATCGA